TGACAGAATCAAAATTTCTTGTGCAGAGGAACTGCAGTTGCATCTAAACAATTGCTGGAAACAGCGTTTCCTGGGATTGATGTTGTTTTAGCTAACTGCCCACCTCCACTTACTAAACGCATGGTTAGCAAAGTGATACCAGTGGTGCAACTTGGAATTATTGGACTTGTAGTGGCAGGTGAACAGATATTTCCTAAATTGGGAATAGTGACGCCACCTTCATGGTACTACTCATTGCGTGCCAATAGGTTGGAAGTATGGCAAGCACTTGGCTTCTTGGGAATTTTGTTCAATCTTTCCTACAGAGTTCTGGTGCTTTTGAAGTGTATTGCAATGGTGAATTGGTAAGTTCTTCCTTCCTTTTCTTCTGAGATTATACATCATATGACTGTCTCTTCTGATTTTCAATTCATGAATTTAAGATCTTTGTTTTATTGGACGTTGTAGATATTCTCCAAGTTGAAGGAGAATAGATTCCCAGGTGAAATTGAGTTGAAGGATCTTGTTGGCAGAAGAATAGCGAATACAAGATATGGTCCTGTCTGATCCAAGAATGTTAACTTGGCTGAATTCGTCAGCATCAAAAGCTAATGTGATTGAATTATATGACAGAATCGCTGCATCTTGATTGAGATTTACGAAACGGATTGTAGAGATCAGATTTCCTGTGTTAGCTATTTGTCCTGTACATTCTATGTCAAGCAAGTTATCTCACAAGCATGCCTTCTGCATAGGCATTTATAGAAGTAAATTAAAATAGAGGGGTGATGCTTGGAAAATTCTTCTATTTATATACAAGTACGAAGCACACGCACATGAATAAGCACTAATCACGGCTTAATTTGCCATTTTTGTATCAGAACCGAATCATAAATCATTATGTTACTTTCGAGTCCTACCTAGTGCCTACTTTTATGAAGGGAATAAAAAGTTAGCGAGCAAGATGGCATCTTTTCATCTCTGTTTCCATGGTTGTTTAGAGAAACAAAGTAAAAGGAACAACATATTTAACTTCATGATAAGGCACATGGGATGATCATAAGATACGATGAGATTCTGCCTCCCATTTATTTCCACGAAGATGCATCCTGTCCCCGGGCCACTTCAAAATGACAGTGAATGGTTAGAAAGGAAAACGCATAAACATACCGCAGGTATATTGGAAAGTATTATGATGGCAATTGATGTAGATAAGATAAGATTAATTTTGCAAAATGTGATGGTGATTGGATAGTGGCAATGTCCCTTTTCACAAATCCTTTTCGAGGCCTTGCTTCCATGTGCTTAAAGAGAAGAATAAGTGCGATTTGGAGATGCGTTTGTTAAGTGCTTATAGGCATTTTCATGTAAATTGAAACAAATTTTTCTCATATATTTAGCTAATATTTTCTAAATTACAATTAAAACACTGTTTCTATGTAAATCATTCCAAACAAACCTTTATAATTAGACTCATAATGCTACTAATGGCCCAAGAAATTGTGATGCACAGGCCCAAATAGAGAATCTTATTAGTTTATTTTTTTGGTTTACAGACATGGTTTTGATGGAAGCTAGTGAAGTAAGGTTTTTATTTTTTAAATATATTGTGAACAAATTGCAACAAAAAAAGTTATATTATGGACAAAAGGTAGTATTATCTAATAATTTTCCTTTGCATTAAATGTTTTAAAGTTTTTTTATTTTGTTAAATCCTAAAATTAAAGAAGAATTTAAAAGAACATTTTATTCTTTGAAGTTTCCTGCTTTATGTCAAGACTCAGACGGGAATACATTTATAAAGAAAGTCAGCCCGATGTCAAGGGGATGTAGCTCAGATGGTAGAGCGCTCGCTTAGCATGCGAGAGGTACGGGGATCGATACCCCGCATCTCCAGCACTTTCCCTTTGTTCGCTCCTGTCATTTTTGCTCTATTCGTTTCATTTCTTGGTGCCGTGTTTCGAAAATCTCTTCCCTTCGTCTCTTTTGCTTCTCCTCCTTCCCTCTCGGTTCATCCCATTATGCTCTGAGATCCATACCCATAGCCATAGGCCTTCACTTAACAGTTTAGTTTCCAGTGACCCACGATTCTCAAAGAAAGGAGAAAGGATACAATTTCCAGGGTTGAGTTTCCTTTTGTTTGGTTTCTGAGAAAGTGATCGGTTGCTGAGCAAAAGGGGTGCCAGAAAGCTCGCTTTTTTTTTGAAACAGGAGCTTGGGGATTGTTCAGAGCTTCTGCCTCTCTTTCTTTTTCTCGATAACAGCACTGAGGAGGGGATTGGGAGGCGGGGGAGAGGAAAGGAACAAACAATACTGAATATACTAATGGTCTTCTCACTTGCAATTTTCATTTTTGCAAGTCAAATTCCAAATGTCCCAAAAACGTCTTTACTGGATTCAAATTAGGATACTAACATTTTAAAAAAAAAATACAGAGGAAAGGCAAAAGTCTTGAGATAGTACCAGATACTATCCTACAAAAATAAATAATATCTAAAATTTGCTAGTTAAATCCTGCCTCATCAAATTTCTCCCTGGCGGTTCCAATGCAACTGGAAAACCGGAGTTCAAAATTTCATGAGCATAATAAGATATAGCTTATTAATACAAGAATTGGCTTATATATAAACATCTTTACAAGTAACTTTTCATCCATGCATAAGCAAATCTCTATTATCTTTTGTGATTGTAAAAGCTGATTGGGATTTTAGCTTCATCTATATATACTAAATCTGAAGTAAATAAATATAACTAACCAATAGTATTCCAAAAAACACCAATCTAACTTAAGGACATGAGAGTATAAATTGACACATATTTATTATAAATAACTAATTTAATTATTTTTTTTGATCTACTCAAATTAGTCACCTAACTCTTATATCAAGGACATGAGATAGTATAAATTAACAAATAGTATTTTCAAAAGGCACCAATCTTTCCCAATGTATTAACATGGGATGAAAATTAAAGGAAACTAACAGTTAAGGAAAATAATCCCATACCCCTTTTGAACAACATGGTCCGAAGATGTTGCAGACGAGTATCAAAACAGCTGATTTTGACGAGTCATTCTTCGCAAGGACCTTGGCCGTATGATTCTGTTTGTCTTGAATATACTTCAACCATGCAGAGGCACCGAGTAAATGTTATCATGTGTCTGATCTGAAGAAACCATACTGCATTTAGATAATTTTGTATTTTGGATCTCTTCACATAGAGAAACTCCTGGAGACAATGAGTTGTATTTAGCATTATGCTGTTAGATAAAAATAGACATACTTTTTTTTGCCAAAAAAAAAAAAGACATATTGTTCCTTAAGGAGTAATTAATACTCGTCTGTTCTTAATATGAGAATTAATTAGGAAGTTGATTTTGATCCTATATACAAAATCTACTTCGCGTGTTTATTAATTTTTTTTCAAATTAACCTTATTAATATTCTTCTAACAATAATTAAGTATGAGAGAAAGAAAGAGAATTAAAGAAGATGCTTAAAGTATTTAAAAAAAATCATATTAATTATTTAATATTCTTAATCTATTCAAATTAGTTAATTAAATTTTACATTAAGAATAAAAATTATAATAATATGGCTCTATTTAGCTAGAGGTACCAATAGTACAAATTTGTGGGTCGCATTCGTCTGCAATTCCCATGGTGGGGCTCTCGCTTGGGGACATCTTGGATCTTTGATATTCTTCCCAGAAAAGGACCGTGCACGGTTACACAATTGATCAATGGGAATGCAATCATCATTATCACTCAAATTTGGAAAAATAATATAGGAATAATATATTATTATTTTATTCTAGTAAGCTCTTCAAGAGAAGGAGAGGATACACCCAAAATAAAAGAGAGAAAATTCCTAAAAAAATGGCAGTTGAATTTTAAAATTTCAAGATATTATTACAAAAATACATTGTGATTTGCTTTTTTAGTGCAGTTATTTTTTTAAGAGAGTAGTCATTAATACTGATATGAAATTTTAAAATTTAATAATCATTTTTTTAAATTTCCCAATAAAATAATAAACATATCCGTGCCAAATATTCCTACATATAGTCACGGGGAGAGACTTCTCTTCCCTTCTCATTATCATCTTATTTTTCAAACCATAAAATCAATATTTAATGATTTAGATTCAATCATTTATAAAGTATTTTTTATGCAATTTTAAATTCTTCAGATTAAATTTGAGCAATTCAAATATGATTAATTATTTTTTAATTTAATATTCTAATTTTATTAAAAAATTAAAAATCTTAACCATCAAAACTTGGATGTGATAATTGATTGTAAAAAAATGAGAAGATAATCACCCTAGAGGATCTCACGGCGGAAAGGCTTGTACAAAAAAAGATATTCAGGGAAAAAATAAAAGGCGAAAAAGATGCACTATTAATTACTTCTACTAGTTTAAGCTTCGGGCGGAACCCGCAGGGAAGAAAAAGAAAACATTGCATTAAAATTCTACTTAAGAGAATTGAACATAAAAAAATATCATAAAATTATTAAATTAACTTAAGTTTTAAAGGATCTTATTACAAGAAATTTCACTTATTCAATTACTAAGTTGCTCTCATTGTTTTAAGTATATACTAACAATTAAAAAAGTAGTTATTAACAATTTAAAATGCGAATATTAATAACAACATGTATTAACAACTCATATCTTAATCTTTCTGATGTGCTGAGAAAATATATTATTAATACTTGTGATGATAGTTATTAATTTACACCTTATATTATTAACGGTTATTTTTTTAGTTGTCAATATATACTTGACAAAAAAATAATTTAATAATTAAGTAAATAAAATCTTTAGTTTATTTTTAAGAGGCTTTAGGTTATTTTAAGGAATTTTTTTGCATTTAAGGGGAACTTTTTGCATTTAAGGGGAGAAATTGCTGACGTGGAAGCATGATTCGGCCTTGGTTTGCGTGCCCCGCCACGTGTCTTTCCGACCAATTCAATTGCCATCATCAATCTGTCTCTCTTCTCTCTTCAGTTTCGTCCAAATCTAAACTTCCTGTCCCGTTCTCTTCATCACAGCTCCGATAGTTCAACCATTTTTCCGTCACCTGCAAAACCCTAACTTTTTGCTGCTATCCGCCATCATGACCGTCCTTTCTTCCAAGAATCGAGGTCTGTATTGCATTTTGATTTGCCATACATAACTGCTCTTCTGTGATTGTGGAATCCTTTATTAATTTTCTAGTTTGACTTTTCGCCTTAAAAATCATAACAATGTTACATGAAAATACTGTTGTATAGATTAAAATAGTTCTGGAGAGTGTTATGAGGGTCGTCTTTATGTACTGGTTAGGGAACCATATTATTATTCATTTCTATGGTCGTCTTTCCAACTCATGGGAGCTTGTTATCGTACACAGCGCATTGGTAGTGGAAACGCACCAATTAAACACACTGCGTTATCAGCTTGTTGCTTGGTCTGATCGGATAGAATGATTACTCTTATTTTATAGTTTTTACGCCATATATGATGATTAATAAGAGCTATTCTTGCATACTTTGATTTCACAGATGATGATGCGAAATATGAGATGCCTTCCTATTTTCACTTGCCATCACTGGATATCTCTGTAGCATTTCCTCAAGCAACTCCAGCCTCTACATTTCCTCCGTGTGGTAAGAATTGTTTTTAATAGTTCACGTTATGTTTGGAGAAATCTGATGTTTTGGAAGCTTTACTTTATCTAGACTAAGAGGTTTAAGAAGAGGTTGAGTTTGTCTCTACGCTAACATGCTGATATAAGAACTTTGCATAGTGATGTGCTTGTATATTTGATATAATAGACTATATTTGGTTCATGTGCTGAGGAAATCGACCCCCCTTCTTCTTTTACTGTGAGTCTCAACATCTAATTTATGATAAATAGATCTACTTTTTCACCCTTTTGAACGCAAACTACTCTGTGTACATTCAAGTATCTCTCAAAATTGTTATATCTGACTTCTGCACTTAGAATTTACTGAAATGAAAGTAGGATGATAATATTATGCAACAGTTTTTATCAATAACAGACTAGCCCTGGCTGTGCCTGAATACAAAACGTGGCGAAGCTTTTTCCTTTTATGTGATTACATGTATGATATTATTTGTACATATTGACTATGTTATGGCTTAAGTTCCTGTGAGGGAGACCTTACCAAATGATCTCACAAATGTTTCCTCTGCCGTCAAATTTTTTTATGCAAAATTCTCCTCTTAAGATATAAAATTCATGCTAGTTTTCTTCATTGTCCCCATTCTAAAACAGCAAAGGTATGAGGTGGCCTAATTCTTTGGGGATAAAAAAATTCCTTAATTATTCAGTTCCCTCCCCAACCTATCGCTACCTTCCAAAAATTTTGTTGTTACACATAGTGAAGAAGCTGAACTTTCATTACATTGATGCTCATCATCTTACGATTTACATTCAACGTTCTAAAACACTGCCCTTACCCTTCATTTCTGTGTCTTCCACATTGTATGGTTTGTCAAGATTGTAAATATTTTGACTTGATTCGAGATTTAATGTTCTTAATTGCTGAAAATTACAGCTTCAGATTATTACCAATTTAATGACTTACTGACTCCGGAGGAGCAGGCTGTTAGGATGAAAGTAAAAGAGTGCATGGAAAAAGAAGTTGCTCCTATAATGGCCGAGGTACCTTCCTGTGATACATTTAAAATGAGAATGTGATATGATTTTTACATTCGTGTTTTGACTTCCTTCATTTTCTTCTTTCTTCTTACATCAATACTCTTGTTTGTTTTCCCCCCCCCCCCCCCTGAAGTATTGGGAGAAGGCGAAGTTTCCTTTCCATGTTATTCCAAAACTTGGGGCACTGCGCATTGCTGGTGGCACTATCAAGGTTCTTTCATGCATATTGTGTGTGTGTGTGTGTGTGTGTTTTCTATTATAAGAGACATGGTTAAGGAGGTGCTTAGCTAGTTTCAATTCTCAGGGTTATGGGTGCCCTGGTCTTTCCATTACTGGAAGTGCTGTAGCCACGGCAGAAGTTGCTAGAGTTGATGCAAGCTGTTCAACTTTCATTTTGGTTCATTCTTCCTTGGCAATGCTCACCATTGGTAATACCTATAAGTTTGATTGTTTATTGTTTCATCTATATCAGGAAATTCTCTCAGCAATTCCTGATTTCTTCTTGTTTCTTTTATTAATTCTCAAGTACAGCATTGTGTGGATCAGAAGATCAGAAGCAAAAGTATCTACCTTCTCTGGCGCAGCTACGCACTGTAGCATGTTGGGTAAGCTCCGTTTTCTGTCATCGCGTCTGTTTGCTCAGGTAACACTTGTTAACGATGTTTATTTTTCTATTTATTAGGCTTTAACTGAGCCTGATTATGGAAGTGATGCCAGCGCTTTGAAGACAACAGCAACAAGGGTCCTATATCTTGCTCATCCTATCCACTATTTGCTTCTGCAACAAATTCTATTGCGTCTTTTAAAATTTATTTTAGCAGACAAATATCACTCTATATAAGTATTCAGAAGTTCTTCAATCTTGTAAAACGTTTTGCATTGAAAATATCAGGTTGACAGAGGTTGGATCCTTGAGGGCCAGAAACGCTGGATAGGAAACAGTACATTTGCTGATTTGTTAGTTATATTTGCTAGGAATACCACTACAAATCAGATAAATGGGTATCGACTACTTTACCTAATTTCATTGTATATATGTTCATGTGCACGCACGTGTGCGTTCATGTTTTTACTTAAAACCTCATATTTTCTTGATCCTTTTACCCTGATTTACAAGTTCTCATGCTTCTCCATGTGTTTTTTGACCTATAACTCAGATATATTGTGAAAAAGGATGCACCTGGTTTGACAGTCACCAAAATAGAGAACAAAATTGGACTCAGGATTGTTCAAAATGGAGACATTCTTTTGAAGAAAGTTTTTGTCCCTGATGAGGATAGACTACCTGGAGTGAACTCTTTTCAGGATACAAATAAGGTAACATTGTACATTGATTTTTTTTCTGTGATATGATCTGAAGCTGCACATGACTTCAACTATAAATGACTAATTTAATTCTCACTTCTTGTTACGAAAACCTGGAGGGCATCATAGTCTTGGATCCTGTGTCCTTGTAGTCTTGTACCTGTTTGGGATTGCACTATTGTCTTCTAGGTTATTAGCAGCATGCCTGTGTTTTGCTCTTCCCCCCTAATTCAAGCTGTAACATTCTTGATATATTATCACGCCTTTACCAAAAGACAAGAATATTCTTCAAGTATCTTCATACCTGTAGTTTTCTCTTCTCCTTGTCTCAGTCTGCTGCAACCACCTATCAAATTATTGTTCACATTAAAAAGAAGCTATAATATGACAATTTCTGAGATATATTGTTGAATGACCAGACATTAAGATTAACTCCATTGTTATAATATTGCCCGTTGAATGAAATTTACTTCCTGTTCTCTAAATTTTGAAATAGGTGCTTAAAATTATTGTTCACATTAAAAAGAAGCTATAATATGACAATTTCTGAGATATATTGTTGAAGGGCCAGACATTAAGATCAACGCCATTGTTATAATATTGCCTGTTGAATGAAATTTACTTCCTGTCCTCTAAATTTTGAAATAGGTACTTGCTGTTTCGCGCGTGATGGTTGCTTGGCAACCTATTGGCATTTCTATGGGCATATATGACATGTGTCATAGGTATCCACTTTATTACCATGCTCTCGTTCTTTAATAAAGCTCTCACTTGCAAAGCATTCTAAATTCTGAGCAATTCAAAGGTACCTAAAGGAGAGGAAACAGTTTGGAGCACCATTAGCAGCTTTCCAAATCAATCAACAGAAACTCGTTCAAATGCTTGGTAACATTCAAGCAATGATTCTTGTTGGTTGGCGCCTTTGCAAGTTGTATGAGAATGGAAAAATGACTCCAGGTCATGCCAGCTTGGGGAAGGTTATGTCATAACCCTTGCATTACATGTGTCTGTATCTTGTCATGTTCCTTGTTGGCATCGTTGCTTCTGAGAAAATAACAAGCATTCAATCTAGGCTTCTTGTTGTCATCAGTGGCTATGCTAACTACTAATTAACTATTGTCATCAATTTTCAGTCTTGGATCACCTTGAGGGCAAGAGAAACAGCTGCCCTGGGACGCGAATTACTTGGTGGCAATGGAATTCTGGCTGATTTTCTAGTGGCAAAGGTTCTTATGCTGAATCCTTTAATTAAGTTGTCTTTTTCTGAAGATCCAATCTAATCTAGATAAAATTGGGATTAATTCTAGTAGATATTTCTAAGCATGAAGTCTACTAAAGTAAGTTTGATGCTAATGATTAATGGAAAATGGAATGAAAAGAGTGATTGTGAGTTTTAAAATGACCCTTGTGACCTTTTTTTCTTTCCCCCCAAAGAATAATCGAAAAAGTATCGAAACTGACTCTTTCCCCTTCTCTAACGTAAATGTTTAGCAATGTAAATGGACATATACTATTATGCATATATAAATATACACAAAAATTATTGCGGATATATTCAAATTGTTTTTTATTTTTCAAAATTTTACTGAACCTTCATAAAGCTATACAAATATGAGGATGTCCCCGCCAAATAGGAAGGAAATGGGAAAGGAGTGTAGTCATGCGGATGAAGATCGGGGAAGGCTTCCACATCCTTGCTTTGCCACATTGATGGCCCACTTTGCATTGGATGAATATTTCTAGACAAAAGTTTGTTTTATGACATGCTTCTATCTGAGATGTAAGAGTTAGATAATTAATTTGCAAATATTGAAATAATTTAGTGATTTATAAAAAGGTTGTGTTGGTTGCCTAAAATACTCTTGTAATCATTTGCATTGAACTAATTTGGAGAACAATGGATTGGGGTCTTGCATTTTGATATATTTAAAAAAAAAAAAATTCCTCCACTAACTCTTACATTTATTATTAGAGGAGGATCTTTTTCTTTGTCTCATTTTTTGTCTCTCACCCTCAAATATATATATATATATATATATATATATATATCTTGCACTGCAGGCATTCTGTGATTTAGAGCCCATTTATACGTACGAAGGCACATATGACATCAACACACTGGTTACTGGGAGGGAAGTTACTGGTTTAGCCAGCTTCAAGCCTGTTGCACAAAGAAGTCGACTGTAAAGATATAAATCAAAAAGTATACCCACGGACTCATTTTATCTACTCAATTCTCTGCTGTGGTGGGATGCTAATTCAGGAACAATCCTCCATCGGATTTAATAAATTATACGAGTGTTTGTTTAGATGATGACTCAATGAAATGAAAAATAATATGGTCCTCCCTTGTTTAGCATATTTCATGTCTGTGTTTGCTATGTTTTGTACAGAGTTGAGTATTGATTAGTGGACGGTCTGTCAGATGTGGTTATAAATGGCTGTTATGACATTTGTTCTCTTGTTCAATGTTGGAAAAGAGGATTTCCATTTGTGAAATGATCACAATAGTCTCACAACACTTTCCAGGCCACTGATTTGATGCAGAGTCAATCCCCACATTTTTTTGTTGTATGTTTCCATTGAATATAGAGGCAAGAAGACGTAGGGGCTTTTCTGTTGAAGTGTTTGGTTTGCTTCCTATGTGATTATTCAAAGCACTTCTTTTCTAAATCTTGACATTTTGTCACTCATTTATTCCCAAAATATTCCTATTAATTGCAATAGGTTTATACTAAAAAATAATTCTAATAATTTACATAATTAAATATGATAGTTTATGAATATTGGCACAGATTTATGACAAATAATTAATTTAATTAATTTTTTAATATTTTAAAATTAGTTATCTAATTAGTATTTTGGTTTGGACTAAGAAACAAATGTAAAAAAAAAAAAACAAAAAAGTTAAGACTTTTTTTTTTTTTTTTGGGTGGGGGGATTTTATTTTTGCTAGCCGTGGATAAGTGGCTTTCCAGTTAGGTCATCTTCAGCTAAAAATAGAAGTTAGATAGCTTACACACAGACATCCCATAACCGTTAAAAGCCGATTCCTGTTGCTTTCCCATTCTAACTCTATCATTGTCTACAATCAATAACCAAATGAAGCATGCCAACCCAGGGATGTTTGGATAAACTCAAACTATAGTTTCGAGAATATCTTATGGAGAATAGCTTTTTGAGAGAATAGATTTTGTAAAAAATAGATTTTGTGAAAAAATGATTCTGATAAAGAGAGAGTGTTTGGATAGTTATTATCAGAAGTGATTTTTTATATGTAGAATTACTAAAAAAGACGTAAGTTTAAATAATGATTACATAAAAGATATATTTTATAATATATGTTTAATTAAAGTCATAGATTTGTTACTAATATATATTTTGCCAACATAATAAATAAGACATAAATAATGTAAATAATAAATAATAAATGTGTATATGTATTTATAAAATAATTAAACATATTTTGTGTAAAATGATTTATTTTGCCAATAAATTTTTTTTTTAAGCGTAAAGATTTTAAACATAAAAGCCCATAATTTTTTTTTACAAAATTGAATAACCATACAAAAAAAAAAGGGTTGTAAACACAAAGTATAGCGAAGGAGCGAAGGCTAAATAATTGAGAGAAGTGAAAGAAAGGAAGAATAATTGAGGCTGTTATGTCATATGGTGTGGGCCCACACCACCAACCATCAAACAATTTCAACCAGAAGCGACTGAGACCTGCTTAAGCCGAAATCATGGTTTTGGAAGCCAAAACTAATGGTTTCGCCCCAAACAATGACTTCTCATTTGAGGGCTGACTCCTTTCCCAAACCATAATTTGGAATGATAGACAAACAGCTCCTGACAATGTCAGATGTAACATAAATTAATAGCATTTACGTATATAATGGTATAAAAAGCCACACTGCTTATAAATGATGCAAGTTATCTAAGATTGTCTAAACACGAGTATGATGTTTAAATCAACAAATTATTAAGTCTGGTTGGGGTTAAATTTTAGAAGGAGATGAGAAGGAAAACATTATAATTATAAATGTCTTAATTGAAATAACAAATTTAAAAAAAAATCACGGTTATATGAAAAATTAATGTATCCTTAGTGATAAAAATAAAAATGCACCAGGTAAGCCAATAGAAGAAACAAGATGTCGGTGAAGATACCCAAAACACTATGTCATATTACAATATGAGAATAAAATTCTAAATGCAGGGTACCCTGTAGTGTATATACAAAAGACTACATTACGACAACTTTAAAATCATCAATACAATACTAAATACTATCACCGATTCTAATTATAAAATTTTGTTTACAGAGATAACGAGGCCAGAGGTACTAGTAAATACATTCAGCCGTAGGTGGCCAAAAAATATATACATTCGACCGTAGAATACTATATATGCATAATGCCGATGAAGGTGGGAGACTCTGACTTCAAAACAGTGTCAAAAAAAGAAATTTAGTTTCAGAGCGAATCAAATCAACTGACATGATTTGGTCAGAGTAAAAAAAAAGCAAATTTGCAGAAATGAAAAGCCATTGAGATTCCAGTGAAGTGGTAGTAAATCACATTTCCCTGCCTACCGACCTGCACCACCCTGATGAGCGTCTTTTTCCAGGCCCCACGTTCTAATCCTGATGTGAAGCTCAGCCACAGCCACCAGCACATTCACAGCCTGATACGGCTTCAATATCTTCATCGCCTTCAACGCTGTGTTCATCCTTAATGTGTCTGCATTCACCACCAAATTCTCCAATGCAATCTTCAGCGTCTCTGGTACTTCACCGCCACCCTCCTCTGTTCTATACGACTCACTCAAACACGATCGCCCGTGGCTTCTCGCCGCCTCCACCAGCGGCGATGCTCCGACGCTTTCCTGAATCTTCGCTAACTCATCGTTAAGCGCTCGTTCTTCTGACTTCGTCTCCTGGTTGAGCTCACTCATTCTCTCCCTCTGTTCTTCCGACAGATCATCCAAAACCTGATTCGCGAGCTGAATCACCATCCCCGGCTTGAATCCCGCGATCCAGAGAAAGGATCGTTCCAGAGAGCTGAACCACGAGGGAGAGAAAGCGAGGAGGATGTCGCGGTTCGCGATTCTGGATTTCTCTTGGTAGTACTGCTCGTAGTGGGAAAGCACCCGAGAAATCAACTCTCTGCGATCATCGTCGTGCAGTTCATCGCGGTGTCGCTGAGCAGAGAGCAGCTCGTCGAGCAAATCCTTCTGCCGCACCATCCATTCTCGAAGAAACGCCTCGAAGGAAGCAGCATTTGCATCAGTCATCTAGTCACAGCACCAACGACGAAGAAGAAGAAGATTTGCTTCAATGTGGGATCTGCTAGGGAGAAGAATGAATGCGGAATTTGGGAGGTTTGCTTAGAGGGAAAGTAATTCTGGCGGAGGAGGCGTAATGGTGGAAGAAGAATCATTTGGGGGGAGGGAGAGAGAAGTGAGAGCGGTGTTCGGTTAGAGAAAGAGGAGAGAGCCAATAGGGAAAACCGGTGTGAGGGAAATGGATCGGTGAGATTTGTCGTGAAGTGAGGGAAGAGAGAGAGAATTTGGAAGGAGGACGAAATGAGTGGTGAAGCTGAAAACAAGTGTGGGAAGGGGTTGGAGGCTTGAAGGGGGGATGAACTGGGATGGATTTTGAAGCTTTGGTTGGTTCTTGTTCATTCATCGGAAGGAGGATCCATTATGGAGAAGGTGTTGGTATTTGGGATTTGGGATTTGCATGCCTTTGATTATTATTGCTCTATTGGATTCCTCCCATCTGACACCCTCCTGAGGTTTCAATTCTTCTGCCATTTTCTTACCTCATCCCCACATCACACTCCTACTCCTCCTTCCTCCCTTCATTCGCAGTTTCTTGCGTGTTTGATTTCATTTAGAAGTGTTTAGATAAAAACTAAACTATGCTTTTAGAAGCGTTTTTACGGTTTATAAAGTAAATACGTGGAGGAGTTTGTCTCGTTTTGTGGAAAAGTACTTCTGAAACTATAGTTTAGAGGTTGTCAAACACTCCCTAATCTTATAAAAAAATTTTTCAAGACTTGTTAATACTCCAACTAGAATTTCTGTAGTTTAATTTTAATCCCTTTATATTCATTGTGGTGACCATTGTAATTGAGTTGTAATATTAAGCTATTTTTAAATAAAAAAAGATTATCTATAATATCTCTCCTCTCTTTTTACTCACTAGAAAAACAAATCGGAATGGTGGTGCGATGACAAATGATTACGGCGTAAAGGAGTGGCCCAATCTGTGGAACCAGTGGGGGAACTATCTGATTGCATGAGACAGAGAGTGAGGATGAAGGTGGTGCTGTTGCTTTGGAACAATTGACACGTGTTTATCATCTAAGCAAACCATTAAAAGGCTATGCACAAGTCCCCATTTACTCCACTCACTATCCCTTCTAATATTACCACATTAGGTTGTTTACTTCAAGTAAGAGTAAATTTGAGTTGAGATGGAGAATCTCACATCAAATAAAGTGAGACTTCATAATGAATATATAACAAAGTGAAAGGATCTATAAATTTGAATCTTGTAGTTTTGGGTTAGGATATTATATCCAACCCTAAGATATATGTAGTTTTGGAATGGCTATGCATAGCATTCTTCCTTTTTAAAGGCTCCCCAACCAACAACTACTATAATATACCTTCAACAAGCATTTGAGGATGCTTTAATGCATGTAGTTTGCTTCTTCTTTTCTTTTTCTTTTTTTTAATACTTGTTTCATTTTTCCCTTAATGCACAATATGCAGTTAATTGTGATTGAAAATTATTGTAGACATAGCCAATTAATCAACTAATCATTTGAACTGGAGATGAATGGAAGGGAAATGGCAGGTAAAAAGGTAAATTCAGGGCGTAACTATAAAGGGCCTCATTGGTTATCACTTATCTGTCCTCTCTGTCTCCCATGTGTCTTTCTCTGTCTGTCTGGACTTTTGGATATCATACAGTAAACTTGCAGTTATAACCATAAGAAATTCCAACTCTCACTTGCAAACACTGTCCCAAATGGGTTCATTGCATCGTATTTGCATGTAGTTGTGGCAGACGAACAACAACACTTTAAGCACAACACAAACAAACAAAGTAGCCATAAAAAAAACTCCCAAATGATTGGTTGAGGAATCATCATGGTGACTCTATCAACTGCAGTTAGCCACACCTTCACTTGTTTGATTCGGCCGTAAAATTAAAGATATATTGTCACTTAGCGTTTTAGTCTTTGACTCTTCGAGATCTATAACCTCACTTTCAAAGAAATCAAAATTGTTAATGCCAAGTACCCAACGAAATATACTGCAAAACATAAAGATAGTATTACCTTTCGTTCTATTTATCAGACCTCGTTCATAAACTACAAACAAAGTCTTATAATTAGGACCAGAAGTAATATTTTAAGAAAATGTTTTGCAAAGAAGAATTAAAATTGTAAATAGATTAAGTAGGGAACATGAATTAAATAGAACAATATAGATTTAGTCACAGATGAAAATGGGCGATGTATCCATATAGAAAACCAAAGATAGCAACTTACTAAGAATAAGTTATATTTTCAGCGGCTGAACTGCAAGGCATGTTTGATATAAATTGCAAGCCAACCACCGTTAATTCCTTAACATTCCTCAATCACTAACAAGTCAAAAACAGAGATCATACATATTTACCATGAAGAAGACGACCTTGTTCATTTTCTTTGTTCTAATTCCCACCATATTGCTTTCAAATATGAACCAGCAAGTTGAGGCTTCGGATGTAGGCGAAGATCTGTGCAAGAAAACTGGATATTATTTGATTGGTTGTAAGAGAACTCAGTCACCATTACTCCACGCTCAACCATTGCATCCTGGATGCTCTCTACCTTCAAGGTGTCGCCGAAGAAAGATTCACAATTAAATTGATTTTTTTTTCCTTTTTTGTAATTAATTTTAATTGGGATTTGAATTCAGATTCTTTTGAGGTCTTTTTGAAGATGATTGATCCGAGTAGTACAGGTCCAGATTTTTGTTTTGTTTTGTCATGATCACGAGTCAGACAAAATCAGTCCTCCTTGTGTATATCTTCAATTTCACATGCAGTTAATCTGTAAATTAAAACTATGTGCCTACGTATTCATTTTAGCATTTCATTTGGATTTGTTTTGTGTTTTTGTAAATGTACATGGGGTTTGCCTACTCTTTTAGGAGTGGTTGGACAATTTGTTCTGGAAATGAACGTAAATAATTGGGGATCTGATCATACAACTATGACGTAGGGGGGGGGGGAACAATTCCTTCCTATTTCATAAAGCTTTAGCATTATTTAATTCAATTTTAATTTATATGTTTTTTTTTTTTCATTTTTCGAATCAATACTTCGAAGCATTGCTTTGTGGGGTTCAAGGGCATTGTACATGATGGAGATTCCAACTTCCCAGTAGCTATCATCCAAGCTCTCTACGGTAAACACGCAAAAGCAGGTTGGCCACAAACGAACAAGCAAAACAGAGAGTGAACCCCAATATACGTTTTTTTTTTTTTTTCACCTTTACCTACTTTGATGCACTGGTTTATTTGACATATTGTTGGATTCAGTTAAGTCCATAACTTGATAGATTCGGTCTAAACCCATGTTGAGTTTTTTAGGTTTATTGAAAAATAAACAGAATAGGCTCCAAAATAAAACAGGTTTCTTTCTGTTTTGAAAAGAAGTGGGAATACTAATTGTGACAGTGACAGGTGGGAAATTTTGAGTTGGATCCTCCTTTTAATCTGCATCCGCGGCAATGTGTGTAGGGAGTTCATTGTTTGAGGCATGAGTACAATTCGCGGATAACTGACTACGTGATTACTCTTTAGGTCTCCATGGGCACGATTGCGGTAAAAATCTCTTATAAACACATTTTATGTAAGCCGAAACAAAATTTCTTTCACATACTTGTTTCGGTAAAAAATTTTTATAAGTACGTTTTATGTAAGCCAAGATAAAATTTCTCTTATATACTTGCCTCGTGTTTCGTAAATCATGCTTATAAGGTGTTCCAAACATGCCCATATATATATAACTCGTTAATCCTTCAGAAAACTGACTACGTGATTATTCTTTGAAGTCTCTACATAAAAGCTCTTTTATGTGCGTCATTGAGGCCATTTTCTGTGATTATTCTTTTCACTGCATTTTGATTCAAAGCTCTATTTCCAATCCCTCAATCTTACCTATCCACTAGAGGCCCTATAGTCATACTTCAGTTAAGAAACTAGAAGCTGAATTAGTCTCACCTTGATGAAATCACAGAGCTCCGGAGCAGATTTCCTGCAGGCATTTAGGCTTTGCTGCTACGCCACGCGATCGCGATTTGCCAATGAACTGAAACTCATTGTTCTTATCGTAAACGGAAGCCGACGACCTATTTCCGGCTTCAGCGGTGCAGCCACGGACTTCGTCGTCTCGACTCTCAACGAATTTCTTGATAGCTAAATCTACCTACCATGCCCGAGTCGCGTAGATAATGAAGAAATTTGAAACAGAGGATGTGGTTTGGGAAGTGAATAGAATGACAAAGTAGGGGCATTTTGGGGAGAAGACGAAACTAAACAGGGAAAACAATCAGACAAGTTGGCATGCAAGTCTGGGAATGTTGTGAATAAGAGAGATCTGCATATAAATTTGGTGCCTGATGGTTTGTTGAGAAGTTAATTCCATGGTCAAGCCAATCTGCTCCTTGACCCTACAAATGGATTCAAGAGTTCTTTTAATATTTAAAATTCTAATTAACAAAAATATATTCATAAATTGACTTATAACCGCTGAGTCTAGTAGAAAGAGTTAGGCTTTACAACGTAATGAATTAAAGTTTAAATTTCTGTAAGAAAAAATATCTACATTTAGTAACCGACAATACATTGAGCAATATTATCTCTGACAGAAGGATACTCATGCTTATAAAAAAATACATATATATCCATGAATTTGCATAAAGTAGAAGTTAAATCTGCCGCATCATTCCTTAATTTTTCCTATACAATTAAAAAAATTCATGCTCATGCCATTGACTATAACTTTGTTGTATGATGAGTAATGAGTGATAAAAATTTGTCACAAATTACTCATCCAATCCTTAATATATGATCTATTTAACTTATTTAATTAGATTAAGAAAGTTAGGTAAGTTAGTTAATTATAAAAAACGTGATATGTTTTTCTTAAAACACCATAATCATCTTTCTTAATATTTTTCCTCCCTCACTTACTTAATTATGATTGAGCGAGTATCCATAGGGTAATTTAGAAAAAATTGATAAATACAAGAAATAGGTCTTATATTTAAGACCAAGGTTAACTTAACAACTAGGTCCTATATTAAGGACTGAAGGAGTAATATAATCTCTGACTCTTAATATAAAAGCTATATAGCTAATTTAATAATATTAAAAAAGTTAATTAAGTTGGATATTTGTCACAAATGTATGTTTATCTTCCTAAACTATCATCTTCAATCACATCCATTAGATAATTAAAATTATTTCTTAGTGGAAACTTCTTATAATTAATAGGGATATTTTGAAAAAAAGATAAAAGATAAAGTAAATTGATATTTTATATTTATGATCAAATCTAGTCTCAACTAACTTGTATATTAGAAGCACCTTGAAGTGGTATTATTTTAATAGATTTTACAATCTCAACTAGTATTCTACTTCACTCTAATTAAAATTGAGGGGTGAAGGTATCGATGGACAAAACTGGATTTGGTACACCAGATGCACTTACTCTTTAATCATTAAATAAGAGAGGTGGAAAATAAGAAATCATGGGTGTGATGTGCTAATTAAGATTATTAAAAAAAAAAAAGAGGAGAAATGGGCATTTATAATGCACTTCCACCAAATCTAAATCTGAAGTGTGTTATAGACTCAATACACGAGAAAATTTAGATCTAGAATTTCAAACTATTATTTTTATCAATTTTTTTTTTATATTTTTCCTGAAGGCAAGAAAAGGATCGCAACTATCTCTTGGCAATCAGTTTGAAAGAAGATGATTTAAAAATCAAAACGAAAAAGGAAACTCATCATACTATTACCCTTAATTTACTTATGATTGGACAGAAGTGAAAGCAAAGGAACTTAAAGAGGGAACTAATTTGTAACCCACAACTAGAAATAGCAAGTTGATGTAATGGCATTAGGTTAAATCCATTATTCAAGCAACAGGACAAATAATCAATCAACTTCATTATTGTTGCAGTCATCCCGGGAATTTGATATTGCTTGATGATTATTACTCCTTCGGTCTTTAATATAGGACCTAATTGTTAAATTAATTTTGGTCCTAAATATAAGACCTATTTATCATATTTATCAATTTTTTTAAATTACCCCTATGATATTCCTTTAACCATAATTAAGTAAGTGAAGAAGGGAGGATATTAAGAAAGATGATTATAGTATTTTAAAAAAAATATGTCATATTTCTTATAATTAACTAACTTATCTGATTTTTTTGATCTAATCAAGTTAGTTAAATAGGTTTTATATTAAGAACTGAAAGAGTAATATTTATGGTTGGGTTTTCATATTGTGTCGAACTTAGGATCTTTATTGGCAATAATTTGAGATCATACTTTGGTTGTTGCAAGTAATTCTAGGACATGGCCAACTTTTTTTTTTGGCCGTTTAGGACATGGCCAACTAAGATGAATTTTTGGTTATATGGTCAAATTATTTAACAACAATTAATTGTACATATTTAGAGTTGTTATGTCCTTATCAAGATTTAAATATATGTGACTAAGGTAGCTTTCAGTGTTAAAAATTTCACACATGAATGCGTTAAGGTCAGTGCATATTGCCGCATTGCTACTTCTTCACTAGACATTCGCCTATCAATTTTTCCCATCTTAGTTACGTTTTAATCTTGACTTAATTGAAAAGTAAATCATTGAGTGAAAATTCTTATCTGACGTTGTAGATCATAATACAATCTAAGCACATGATACACAGAGGAAATCAAATTTGACAATTATTTATAATCCATAACATTAGAATCAGCTGGAATTGAAATTGAAAATGTAAAATTATTTAAAATTTAAGTTTTCTCTATCAATTTTTTAATTTTAGAAAATATAGTAAAAGTAAAGCCTCAACTGCAAGGTTAAAAAAAATTTAAATTTAAACTTTTAATCATAGTTACTTAATCTACTTTATATGATTTACATTAAAAACTTGCTTAATTATGATCTTTTGAAGGGATTCAAATCGAATTGATTGGATTCCCGGTACGTATATGAATATCATGAAGTGTCCTTGAGTAGCAAGGCATTTGAATTGGTCAAATCTTGTTTGCATACAGACAACTTTCTTAAACATTAATTTACCAAATGAAAAAAAAAATAACACTAAATTTCACCCCACGAGAAATTAAGCTGAAGTCACAAAATCAAATCCCCAATTTATAGTTTTCGCACCCAAATAAATATATCTTGCAAGAAGACACCTACTACAGATAGATACCATTTTTCAAAGTTCACCAAACATAAACAAAAAACTAAACCTACTGCAAGCAGATACCTTTTCTCAAAGTTCACCAAGAACACATGCCAAAGGCTAGACAGAGAGAGAGAGAGATGACAGCATGGAAAAAACTACTATTTATGATCTTGACAAACAACTGTCCGTTTCTTGCTGTGAACAATAAACAGATCTGGTTTGCCATTATGCTTGAACTCACAAGAGACAGCAAGGGGTGTCATGCCTTCAACTAATACACCTTCACAGCCAATGGGTAAGAAAAGCAACAAATCATCATGGTTAGAAAGTCAGATTCAATTTTTTTTCATAGAAGCCTAAAAAATTCTGCAAAATTATAAATTCATCAAACGGAAGTGGAAAATGCAGCCTTAAATTACTTGGAAGAAACAAAAATTTAACTTGTGCAAATTTAGAAGAATACCTCGTTATATTCAATTGGGGTCTTCTTGTTGTGGATGTAAGCCTTGTAACTTAATCCTTAACCTCCACTATGCTATACCCACTTGTTTATTCATAACAAAGCATACTATGCTTTAACTTCACTTCTACTCAAAACCCCATATAACACTTCCTCCCTAAACTCCTCTTCAATGTCTTCATCATTCTGTTGTGCTGTGCACCTCTTCTTCTTCTTCTCTGTCTCCTACACCTTTAGGCTTGTTTCCTTCCCTCAAACCCCATGTTTCCTTCAGCCATAATGAAGCCTCCCAGAATCAAGCTGCCTCTCCCCGTCATTATCACTTCAATTTGTGTTCTTTTCTTCTTTATTGTTCTCTATGCGGAGAGACTCAGCTTTCTCTCTTCCTCTTCATCCTCCTTCTTCAAGTTCAAATTCTGTCCTAGGAGGAGCAACAAACTAAAATCCAGTAAGTTTGCTTCATGGAACTTTTCCTACTCTCTGTTTTTTTTTTCCCACTGAGCTATTGGGTTCTGATGTGACAGTTTCTGATATTGTTGTTGATGAGCAGGTGATAAGAAAACAGAGGAAGGAGGAATTGGCTCGCTGGTCGATGACAGGTTCGACTTTGATCCAGAGGAGTGCAATGTTGCCAATGGAAAATGGGTGTTTAACCGTTCCATAAAGCCTTTATACACAGACAGAAGCTGTCCATATGTAGATAGACAGTTTTCTTGTGTAAAGAATGGAAGGGAAGACTCTGATTATCGTCACTGGGAGTGGCAGCCAGAAGATTGTACCTTGCCTAAGTAAGAATTCGCTTCACTTTTCATGATAATTGGCCCTATGTTATTTGAACTGATATGATTCACATTTACAATGACAATATATGGTAGGTTTGATCCATACCTGGCACTGAAGAAAATTAGAGGGAAGAGGCTGATGTTTATAGGGGACTCATTGCAGAGAAATCAGTGGGAATCTTTTGTGTGTTTGGTTGAGTGGGTCATACCTGAAAAGCGAAAGTCTATGAAAGGAGCGCGTATTCATTCAGTCTTCAAAGCCAAGGTACATAATTAAAAAGGATTTTTTGCTTGGTTTAGTATAAAGAACGCAGAGATTTGTGATTTTGAATCATGTCAGTTTTGAAATATACAACTTAATGATGGTATGAACGTGAAATGAAGCTACTCATGTGGAAAACCCAGAATGATATCATATTTTGTGATGTGTAGGATTATAATGCAACAATAGAGTTCTATTGGGCGCCATTCCTTGTGGAATCCAACACTGATATACATATAAAAACTAATCCAAAGGAGAGGATAATAAAAGTCGATGAAATCTCTGAACGTGCCAAGAACTGGACTGGAGTGGATATACTTGTTTTCAATACATACATATGGTGGATGACTGGTCTCAGGGTTCAAGCACTGTAAGTTCTCTCCCTACTCAATACTTACTCATTCGGAAGTTGGCAGAACACAATTTAAGGCTACTGTGATCTCATATCAGACTAGACTTGTCATCTCTGGAATAATTTGGATCAGTATATGCATGGATATCACTTGTTTAGGAGAATGTGTTGTTGAGTTTCTGCTGTTTAATTATGACGAGTTTTGATGGAGAGTTTGTTCCAGTGTGGTGAAAGTTGGGAATGGTGTAATTGCAGATGGGGTTCATTTT